CGGTTTAGGGCTACGCTTCTTGTTTCGCACAGTCACCCAACCCACCTGTCCTCCCGGCTGCTCGGGAGCTGCTGGGGGGGCTGGAGAAGCTACAGCTATGTGGCTCGCACCGGCTACTGGGGACTGGCTAGCTACATCTCTACACGATCTACTCTCCATGGTGCAGAGCCGCGACTCTAAAAGGCTCATCCTCGCCTCCATCCTGGCAAATAAGCTACATTTAACACATGTGTCGTTATCGCTATTGCTCCCAGGCTTGATGTCAGCACCCAATACTTTGGATGAGATGTAGGCCTGAATTGCAGTAGTCCAGTCTAGGGATAACAAATGCATGGAATAACTTTCAGCATTCTTTTGAGACAGGATGTTACTAATTGTCGTTATTGTGACTTGTACAAATCCTCAGGAATAATGAATTTCAAACAGATGTTTACACAGTTTGTGAAAGTAGCAGTGTGTAAAATGTCTGAGGTTTTCTAAGGCTCTCTTTGCAAAACAATGGGACATAATTCTCATATCTAAGTTGTATTAACTCTGTAGTGAGCCTGAAATAAAAACCGTATTGTTTGTATTTCAATAGAATAAGCCTTATAAATTCATAGTATCTCCATAGCGTGGGTCAAACACAGAAATCACTAACAGGACAAACCAGTCTGAAGCGACATCTCATATATGTTTACTGCCTCTTCTTCTGGCTTTTTGGCGGGAGGCTAAGAACAGTTTGGTGCATTACCACCACCAGCTGGTCTGGAGTGTGGACACATAGACAGTGTGCGTTTGTTTACTGAAGAAGCTGCCTGAAGAACCGTGCCTAACTTAGATCATTGTAGTACTTGTTGAGTCATCCTAGATGTATTTATTTGGCTTAGTGAACTTCCCACCACCTCAGGATGTAAAATCATTAATTACAGGAGAAGACCACTGTGTCATGTATCACTTATTTTCTTACTGTTCTTTTACAGCTTTCTGACCTTGATACATTAACTTCAATGAAAGAAAAACCTTTTTCGGATCCGGTTGTATTTAGCAATGGAGTTTGCACTGGAACACAGGCAAGTCAATGCATTGAAAAATTTTAATGTTGATTCTCTGTTTTATTACAAAAAGTTTATTTGTTTTGTTGTTGTGTCTTTGTTATTTCCTCTCCTTTCTGGATGCCATTTTACTATATCCATTAAAACAAAGTTTGAAATGCTTTAGTATTGTAATATTATTTGTTTGCATCTGAAATTAATCACTCACATGCACAGTCAATGTTCAAAGTTGTTT